TCTGATTTAATTTGACCCTGCGTACATTTTTAGGCTTCATGAAAGTTTCCAAGCTGAATTGATATATCGCTCGATTAATTCTTATTAAAGTACAGTCATAGGAAAAGGTATGGAAAGTAATGGTGATTGAAACTCATTTCATTTTTGTCACAAATCGATTGCCATTTGAGTGGTTTTGGACATAAAGAAACATTCAAACTATCGTTTGCCCCAAGATGACCAAGACAGTGTTCTTGAAGCATCGGAAGTCAAATAAAAGTCTACCGTCTCTATGTATGCTGTTACATATGACCTCGCATTGTGTACAGCTGATCTTATGCAGCGTATTTACGTTTTGTTCCATCGAGATCACCTGAATTTTTAATGAGGCGAATTACTGATTAAGCCGTATCTTTCACAAAGTATGTAAGGGTAATTCTCCATCATAGGTGCCATCCGCTCCTGACTCAGGGCCACAATTCGAAACGAAGCAAGTGGATCAGTGGTCAGCATATGCACCTGTGTCATGAAACTACTGTTTCATTCATTTAAGTTTATATTGCAAAGTATTTCTCTGTAAATAATGGCATATGATGAGCTTGAAGAATTTTGCTGTTCTATGCACTGTAATGAAAAAATTAACTCAGTCGCGGTTGTAGTTATCCTTAACATGAGGAACTAGTTATGACAATCTTGATAAACCAAAACTCTTTGATTTGACTGCGAAATCAAGAAGAAAAAATCAAGGAAAACGTTTACAAAAATAGCAATCATTTTTAAATATCATTTACCTAATGAGCATCGCATCACACAACACTAAAAAATGCGCACTGAACACTAATAATGTATTTGTCCTCCAAACCGAATGACTTCTTATAGTAATACCTGCATCTTATTGTAGCATTATGCACACTGATTCGATCATTAGCGAGTTACGCGAGAGTTTTGATCTGTTAGTTAATATTAAAATTGTTTGCTTTGCAGTTTCAACAGCTTTACACGCTTTAACGAATCATGTCGGCACCGATTATACTGCTGAAAGAAGGTACCGAGCAAGCTCAGGGCAAGAGGCAGATCATTAGCAATATCCAGGCATGTCAAGTGGTAGCCGATGCCGTTCGAACCACTCTTGGACCTCGTGGCATGGACAAGCTGATCGTGGAAACCGGCGGTAAATGGATTTTTCCTATGATTAAAATTCCGTAATTTAGTAAACGTCAGAAGATTGTCGATATTTCGATTTGTTATTCGTTCGTTACTAATCATGATACTTCTGAGTATGGTTATCTAAAGCTGTCCAATGCAGGGCTATCTAAAGCTAGACAAGTGGTGTTTCAAGGACTTTAATGATACTCAGATGTACGGAACAGCGGCCACATGACAATGACCTGAATATTTTAAAGTAGCACTTCATTAAACAGTTAGAACTAAAAAAAATACACGAATTAGTTGAACTCTGTATGATTCATATTTGCACATACTGGTTTTTGGATCAGTTTGTGTCGATTTTGTATATTATACCCGTTATTCTAACTGCCAGCGTTTTGGTTTAGACAAAATTATCTCTTGAACAAAAAGGTCGTTGTGGCCATCTCCTCGGAAATTTAAATAAAGTTTTTTGTTTGCTTTCATTTTAATGATCGATGGTTTCCTGGCGCTCGAGATCAGAGCAGGCAGTACCTTACCTTAGAACTTGGTTGCTTCGTTTACTGAAGAATTAAATCAAGTTGACAGTTAAAATACATATATGATGTAAAAAATAATTATGAATTACTTTAAACTGATATTCAGTCTAATGATGTATTATCATAGGTGTGCTCAAAATTGTGGTTATATAATACTCTGGGCAATAGAAATATTTGCATTAAAACTGTTATCATCTGTATATTTAGTTTATTCCTGTTTTAATTTCGGTTGGTCCCGTAAATGTCTGAGTTGCATGTCGTTTGCAAGATTTTCATGCATTGCATTGACGTCGTTTGTTTTCCTCTATCTTATCACTGGAAGGTGTCTAGGTCTAAAAGTTAAAGTGCAACTATCTTAAATTTGTCCTGTAGAAAGTGGATACTTGACGGCAGTAGATAGATGCATAAACGAGACGACTAATTTTATAAACAGTTTTTTTCATGAAGTTTATTTCAAATGATTCATAACCAAATATAGCGATATTAGCATGGAGCTGCTATTTTGAATTTCGACTTAAAAAATTCGAAATATTCGGTACTTCTGTATGAATACTGTTGTCTTATGTCTAAAACAAAATTATATCGAAGTTTTGGAGTTTCGAATTTACTAGGTTTCCATATACCAGCAGGTACCAAATATAGATAACGGGAAAAAAGAGAGAATGAGGATATGAGGAACTGAAATTTTTTGCGATCACTGTTCACTTCGCCGAAGTGTTTGACTCAGTCTGGAGAGACGTCTTTTCGAAAGTTGCTCAACAATATGGAATACCATTTAAAAAAATACTGTCATAACTGAAAAGATGTATAATTTTTCGTCACCTACAGTACGATCCGACAGTAGATTCAGCACATTCTTTCGTACAAAATTTGGAGTAAGGCAAGGTGGAATGGAATCTCTTAGTACTTTTGTAATGTTGCTTGATTCAGTATGCGTATACTCTATTGCCGTTGCTGATGATGTATTATTAGCAGACAATTTCATAGCCGCTGTTCCCAAATCTGAAATGCGTATTCTGATTTGAGTTTCTCGATCAACTTAAGGAAAACGAAATGGTTGTAAATTGGTAGAAGACAGTCCAAAGATTAACGTTTCGAATTTATGGTAAAGGTACCAGAACATCTGTATCTTGGGAGTACATTGGCCGTAGACGGGAGAGTGACAAACGTAGTTAAGAGGTTCTGTGGTATTTACAGCCAGCATGAGGTTATTCAAAGCAACATGTCGAAGGACAAAGTTGTTGGCAATATCACCAAGCTTCCATTCTGAACATTTTGTTGTATAACATGGAGACGGAAGTAATTAGCAAAGTAGTTGGCAAAAACTGGAAAATTAATGTTTTAAGACTAATATAAGGAGTAAAATAAAGTAGAACGGCTGGTTTGAAATGCTGTTGTACGCCGGCGATTAGAATTTGATTCCAATGAAAAAACATACTGATTGTTAATGAATGGACAATATTTACCTGGCGAAAAGGATGCTCAGCGCTAAGCCTGTTTTCAGGCGGTCGCCAGGAAACCTCTAACAAGATGGGACGATCTCATTTTATCTGTTATAACAGCAAAAGTATTGAAGAATGAGCGCGCGTCTATTCGATCCAGTTGAAATGCTGATGCGGCGCTCGGCGTCGTCTTAGATGCAGTGGGGTAAGAAGTCGACCGTATTAGCTGCGTGTGGCAAAATCACTGCCAGTTTCCAGAGACATTAAGACAGCGACTTTAATTCTGTCAGTACTGGGCATGCGCTAACAGATGATGAGTTGAGAGGCGTCGATTTTTCGATGAAGGTCATTAGCCATCATCCTCATCTTAAGACCGAGTTGCACATTCGATAGACAGCTGGACTTAAAACCGGAAGTCTCAGTTTCGAACTCTGGTCTGGTCAGTTGCCTTTCATCTTTCCAAGGTGGAAAAATGAGTACCAGTGAGTCCATTGGCATACAGTCGATATGAACTTAGTAGCTATCTTATGTCATTTAGCGCCAGTTGTTACAAGCGTTGCCTCGGCCACTTCTTTGATTAGATTTGTCCTGTATGGTCGATTAGTATTTATAAAAGACGGTTCTTGTCAGTTAGGCATTCAGATTTTTCCCTGTCCATTTTGTTGGGGTAAAGTTTTCCATCTGGGCTGTTGCGAAATTCATTTTTACAGAACGAATATTTAGTGTGCTGGAATAATAAATGATCGATACGTCGATTTTCAGCGGCAGACTAATCTTATGCAGTGAAGAAAGAGCTCTAGCTATCTTTTACACAGTACTCCAATAACCTTCAACCCTTTTTTGTCTCAACCAAGGCTTTAGATTACATACGGTAGAATTGAAGGGGGAGCGGGTGTGTTTTATCTGTTAGTCTTTTCTTTGTTTGCTAGCGCTCGTACAGCTTTGAATGTACACCGCTTTCCAAATAAGATATGACCGCGCATTATTATGATGCGTTATAAGCATGTTTACGTACGTTTGGGACTTAAATTTTCATCTTTTTGCGAACTTACCCCTTTCTCGATTCCGAATAATTGTGGCATCAGATTTCATTTATTTTTAAAAATATTTCCATTTAATTTATTTTGTATTTTTATGCAGCGGTGCCTTCCAAAACTGACAGATTTTCGTTTTAGGCAAAGCAACAATTTCCAATGACGGTGCCACGATTCTGAAACTGTTAGATATTGTATTTCCTGCTGCAAAGGTACTTGTCGACATTGCCAAGTCGCAAGATGCCGAGGTATGTACTGACCTGTAGATTTTTGACGACATTACTTTTTTAATGGCATTGAGTTCCAGCAGATGAAGACCTGCCTCAGTTTTGGTTTTTTCAAAAAGTTTAATAGTTGATTAAGCTACTCTAATTACACTGTCTTATGGCACTATTTTGCTATTATAAGCGACGTATGACATCTCCGTCATGTTATACCTCATTCAGTAACAAGTAGCTGCATACCTTTGAGAACGCATAGCTGCAATTTTCATTTTCATACGTATTTCGAGCCACGGTTTTGTGCTGCATTACCTATTTATACTTTTATGGTATCCTTTAGTTTTTACTGCATCCGAAATATGTTACCGTATTGTAGATGGGGTATACGCTATTAATGTAGCGTAAATAGCTTTGTGCAGTACTGCACTCAACTTACAACATTGCTCTTTACTGCTCATTTAGTTGGGAGTAAAAATTTTTAAGCCAGAGCAATAACAGTACCACAATATAGTACTTTGTTTTATGTCACAGAAAGCAGAATGACAACTAAAATAAATAATCGAATGTGAAGTACAACAAGATTAAAACTGCCTACTTCAGTTGTGCAATAGTTTGGTGTCTACTAAAGTGCTATGTGCAGCACTTTCACTGTCTGGTGCAATATTACTGTTGTATTTATACTGTATTGTAGTACTACACTACTCAGTAAATTTCAACCTATGTATTATAATTTATTAGATATCACTTTGGTACAACATAGTACTTATTCTTGCTTAATTCCAAAAGCAGACGATATGTTTGACATGACAAAGATATGACTTGTCCTTTTAAATTAAGAAATAAATATGATTGATTTCGTGATGACTGATTGACATTATTATGAATCAAACAGAAATTAATTAAGTAGTTTATTTGGAATATTATTTTTGAGCGTAAATTTTTGAACTCAGTTGTTCTTTTCGAGTTTCTGCCTTACATGGTATTTTTGTTCGTTGGTAG